CCATCTCTCATCAGTATACCAGAAAATTGTGAAGTTATAATCAACCAATTGAAATTTAATAACAATATCAAAATTCATAGAGGAAAAGCTCTAATTTTACCAAAAATTAAATTTTTTTCTACAGAAAACATACAAACATTCCAGAGCCATAACATTACCAAAATTGACTTTGAGAATCTTTATGCAATTAATAATATGGCCAAACAGTTAGTCCCAATTAAAGACACAAATATTCCTTCACATACCACTCCATTGGTGACCACCTCAGTCATAGCAGTTATTCTAATTCTGATCATTCTATATATTATTAAACAAAGAAGATCAAAACAACGGAACGAGCATGAAAATAGAATTACAAGAAGATTCCGGCATTAAAGAAGATTCCACAAACCAGCATCCCAAAAATAATTCCATTATTTTTCGGACTCAGTGAGGGAGGAGTTACGCCGCTGGATTCCACAGAATCTGCACATTGTAGGACAATAGAAACTACGCAATACTATATTATAAATAGAGGGACATTTCAATTACGATAACTTTTGCTTCATAGTTTTTGTTTAACTTCTGTTTTAACTTGTGTTTAACTTCTGTTCAACTTTTGTTTCATAACTTTTGTCTACATAATTTGTAAATTTGTATTTTCGAAATAAAATAATTTTTAAAAACTCGTTTTCGGAACTCAAAGTTATAATTCACTTCTTCTTTTTGTTAATATAAGTTCTTTAGTCACAATATTGGACTTTGTTAAATTTCATACAAAATTAAAATTTAATGTATATATATATATATATATATTATATATATATATATTATATATATATATTATATATATATATATATATATATATATATATATTATATATAGGTCCCATTCTATATGAGCATATCATGTTTAATAAATTATTTGGTTTGTATTTAGTGTTGTGTATAGTAGGTGAGATGTACGTATTACATACCTTTTGTTGAAGACCCAAGTGTATCAATGATGTTGATAGATATAAAAATAAAAGTTGAATCTTGTTCACAAAAGGGATATAATACATCGGTGTAGATGTTAGTGTATCACATCTAATTCGTTGTTGTCTTTTACATTCATTTATGTTGGTGGTATACACACACACACTATGTGTATAAAGAAGTGTTGGACATTTACAGATCTTTCAAAATTTAAAATTTGACAGAATAGTCTGGTTGAAAAATATAAGAATAAAAATAATATGGTTTGTACATGCAGTTAAGTTATAAAGTTTTTTTTTAATTATTAACAAATTAACTTGTAGATTACATTAAATTCAAGTACACATTTAGTGCAAGCAATCAACTGAGACATAACAGGTAGAACATAACAACAGTACGTTTCAGTGAAGTGTGGAGCAACAGTATTATGTAAATCTAATATAAGAAGGTGGTAGTTTTTTACTTTTAGTAAATTTCTGTTGTTAAACAACAAGTATAGATGGAACTTAAGTTATCAACATCTTTTTTGTGGTTTAATGAATTGAAAAAATTTTTGATATAATACATTTCTAAAATTTTACGATGAGCTTCTTTTTCAGCTCTATCTAGAATTATAGCCTCATTATATAAAGACACGATGGACATTGTCGTTGACAGGAATACTTAAACTTGTTGCTAGGGGATTATGTTTACAATCACTTTTGTGAAGGGCTAGGCGCTTGTTAAGTCATTGACTTGTGTGGTTTATGTATATTTTGCCACATTCACAAGGTATACCGTAGATAACGTTACAGTTAGTCTATAGTGGAACTGGATCTTTTAGTTTAGAGTAGAACAAATTAAGTTTTTTGTTGTTATAATTGGCTATTTTTATGTTAAATTGGCTAAATAGTCTAGTTAGAGATAAAAAATCCAATATTGTGACTGAAGAATGTTAGTGTCTTATACTAACAAAAAGAAGAAGTGATTAAGACAGCTGCTGTTTCGATAAGTGACAGTTGAAACGACACATGACTTAATTAACAATTGTCTTGTCAAAAATGCCGGCCAGATAGTTGTATTAAAATAAATTTAAATATTTAATTAAGGCTTTCTTTGTCATTTTCCTCCAGTTGGGAGATGCGGTTGGTTTGTTTTTAAAACTTTGTGCAGTTTCACATCGATAGTATTGTACACTAAGAGATAGTGTCAACATTAAGGTAATATTAAAAATAACATCTTTAATTATGACGATTGTAAAGACTCTCTTTCCATTACAGCAAGTTCTGATGAAGCTCAAAATTATGTGGCGAAAGCTTGACTTTAAATAAAAGACATTTACCAAAAAGCACCCATTTTTTTATTTCTTCCTTAGTATTGGGTCGTTCCCGGTTACTTTCAACTGTCTGTTGTTTACCAGTGGCCCGTTACTGTCTTTGACTTTAGTCAAATGCAGAGCAGTAAACAAAATCATGATAGCCTTAATGATCGGCATTATGCGACAGTAAATAATGTAGTCTAGCTCTTAAAAATAGTAAAACACAATTTCTGCTGCTAACAAGTCCAAAAGATCGACAAATACGCATACTTAACAGTCAAAAACTCAACAGGAAAATTAAATCAACTTAATTATTTTGCTCTGACTCTTAAAAAATGCATTTTAACTGTACATGTATCGCATAATTCTTATTGACCAAAAACAATTGCAAAATTAAAGTACCAAATGCTATTAAAACCTACGACTTTCATTGATTCAAACTATTAACAAGGCAAGTGTTCATAGTTTTGGTAAGATCCAATTTGGACAATGTCATTAAAAAGGATAGGCAGGTACTATTTTGTAGGATAGCTTTGAGTCGACCAGAAATTATTAATACTTTAGATTCTAGATAATCTTAAAAAGTCACTGACAACAGTTTTGAAAATATATTAAATAATTACCATGGAGCACAACAGCGTCACCACACAAAATCCCTGCAACTAATAAATAACATATTTATAACAATATTCCCTAAAGATTTTTGAGAATTTAATTAAAATAATTATATAGAATGTTATAAGACTCTATGCAACATAAAAAGCAGTAATTTAATGCAAAATCAATAATTGTTATGTTATCAGGAAGAGGGCAGTACTACAACTACTCGGAGAGTGTAGAAAAAGACACACACCATATGAATAAACTTGGTTTTTTAATATCGGAATTTACAAATATCTTTAAAATTTTATACCTGTCAACAACATAGCTTCTTTGTTGTAAAGTTAAATAGTAGACTATTGAATGTCAATATTCTGCAGATAAAAATCCGCTACAGAAAAAAATGTAAGACTAAAACAGGATATTTCTGTAGTCAATTAAAAATGATACTCACAATCCTAAAAGAAAACGAAGTGATTTGATAACTTTATCGCATAAATTGAACAATGCCAAAAATTTGACCTCGTAAGCAAATATAAACTAGGAGAGAGCAGCGAACGATGCGATATATTATTATTAAACCAGTTTTGACAATAACACAATATGGTAATCACAAAATACTTGTTCAATAAAAAAGAATACTGTATTTACTTAGCATAACCAGAAATTAGATAAACCAGATTGGAAAACAAAAAATTCAATATTGATATTACCAGACGAATAGCATGTATCCGAAAATAGACATTGGTTCTACTTGCAAAATCCATAAGAATTACAAAATACCAAATAAATTATCTCAGAAGTCAACTACAACCAAATATAGAAAAACGAAATAACCTACTGAACTAAATAATAAAAAATGGCTTAAAATTTGTTAAGAAAATAATTTATAAAAAATAACGGACGACTTCCTAGAATGAGTTAAAGAAATAAAAAAAATAACAATAAACTACAAATACAGAAATAAAAAAACAATAACAAAAATATTAGAGATGGAACAAAGAAATAAACTAAAACACTATAGAAAAAAATATATAAAGAAATAAAAATTAATAAAACAAAAAGTTAAAAAACACATGTTTAAGAAGCTAGAGAACTAGCTGTCCTGTATGAAGATAAGAAAGCCCCTCATAGAGTATTTGATTCGATGGAAAATAATAACAAATAAAGAAAACATTTTTCTCACGTAGTATATAAGACATAACTAACATGTGAACAAGAAGAACAAAAGGTTCTAGATGAAGTCGAAAACTAAAAATACTAAAGTTTGAAGTATTAAATGCTACCAAATTTGCTGGTCCTGACAGTAATCTGAAAAGTACATTAAAACTTAAATAGGGAAGCCTTATAATCATATTTTGTAAGACTAGAAGATTAGTTAATGTCCGACCTGATAACTTCATTAAAAAAACTGTTTTCAAAAAACTGTAGCGTCTTATGATAGCTTATAGACTGAGAACCCATATGGGTTAAGATATTCCTACCTATCATCCACTATGCAATAAGGAGTAAGTGTGAAAAAGATCAAGATAAAATAAAGTTTGCATTTAGAGTTAGGTTAGGAGCACTATTTACATTAATTATGTTGCTAAAGAAATGTGCCATAGGCTTATGATTTCGTTATAGCGGCACAAGTATGAGAAACCTAGTCTACTGTTTTACAAAGTTTGCAAATGCAGTAACTGAACTAAGACTTATTGTAAACAAATAACAATCAATCAGCTCTGGTCTTCTCCAGTGGTGTTATTAACCAAGAAAGATGGTTCCACAAGGTTTTCTGTCTACAGCAGATTAAACTACGAACTAAGAAAGGCAACTACCCACTGCCTCGTATTAACGATATCCGTAGTGCTTTGGCCAAATCAAAATGGTTTTTCACCGTCGATCTCAAAAGCAGCTGTTGGCAAGTTGCAGTCCATATTGAAAATAGAGAGGAGACTGGAAATGGACTCTACTAATTTAAAAAGATGCCATTCGAATTGTGCAAGATATATAGTAGTAGTATGTATTTAGTACCTAGCGACACATAGGAGAAAATTAAATAAACAATTTATGTATATCTAAGTTAAATAATATATCTACTAAACTCTCTATTCTCACATATTGTAACTTTAAGCATTTTATTTTATACTGTATTATATTTTAGGCGATTTCTACCTGCTTTACACTGCCTGACAGATATTATTGATAGAGAATGTGGGCAAGATCCAAAAGTTAAATTATATAGTGAAGATCATCTTCGTGCGAATGAATACCCCTGCCAGCAGAAATACGATTAGCTTTAACTATTAAGTGAATCAAATTACTGACCAGATATATTTTACATTTTGATATATAAATAATAAATAACTGTTATTTTTACTTTCTACTTTTAACTTAAATATGATCCAAATAGGCCATAAGGTAGTTACAAACAAAAATGACCGAACTTATGGTATCAAAATTCTTAGCTGAGTGTTAGCACCTCAGAGAAAATGCTGTGGACATAAAAAATGCTTGGTGAGACAAATTTATAGATTTTTGTATATCTAGTATTTGAATAGTATAAACGTTTTTACAATAAACATAGCTATAGTCGAGATTGACGAAGTAGTCGCAAGTAAAATAAAAAGAAATCATAAAAGCGAGTGGACGATGGAAGAGTTACTTGATCCAATGGAGCAACGCAGACCGTACATAATACAACATAATCAATAGAAATACAAGAAAATCCAACGTACGATAAGGGCAAGAATTAAAAACGCAAAGCTGGATGAAAGAACGTTGTGAAGAATTGGAATTACTACAAGAAAAGGAAGACAGCTTTGGACTACATAAAAAGGTCAAAAAAATTTCAAATATATACAAGAAACACCATGAGACTCGACTGAAAAATGATCAGGAAAACTACGTTTATACCCAGGAAGAACCAGCGAAAATCTGGGCAAACTATGCTTCGTCCATCTTTGCGGATAATAGACCGAATCTGCCAACTGCTGACTTACCCACGGAAAATTTATCCGGCCCTCCCATTAATCTCGCTGACGTGGAGTACGCTATAAAAGTAGCAAAACTAGGCAAGGTCCCTGGACCGGATGGAATTACTACGGAAGCCATAAAACTGTTGAAAGATGATAACATCGACATGCTGTTAACCATTTTCAATGCCAGTTATAACAGCGGCCACATACCAACGGATTGACTTTATTCAACCTTTCTAATGATCCCTAAATCACAAAAAATGACAAAATGCAAAGACCACAGAATAATAAGTTTAATAAGTCATTTGCTTAAGGTGTTTCTTTACATTTTTCACACTCTTCACACAAGAATGTTCGGAAAGCTAGAAGATCTAAGCCGTGAGACACAATTTGGTTTCAAGACCGGACTGGGTACACTTGAAGCAGCTTTCTGCTTGAATACCCTTAACAAAACTGCACGAATCAACGAAAGGATATAGTCATAACATTCCTCGATTATGGAAAAGCATTTGACACTGTAAAAAATAACGCAATGATAAAAATGCTACACAACGCTAACATTGACGAGAAAGATATAGGAGTTATTCAGAATTTCTACTGAACAAATCAACCAACAAGGAAGAATTTGAAATTTTAAGAGGGGTGCGATTTTATCAAATTTAAACCGCTACTATGAAACCGCAATCTTTCCTTCGCTACAGGATCGTTAAATGCTATGTATGGTCCATATTGTTATACGGCATGGAAACATGGACGTTAAAAGTACCTTCCATTAATATGTTGGAGGACTTCGAAATGTGGACGTTGCGAAGAATGTTCCGCATACAATGTACAGGTAGGGTGAGAAACGAGGAAGTCTTAAGAAAGGCAAATATCGAAAAAGAACTACTCAATTTGATCAAGGTACGAAAAACTGGATACCTCAACCATATTCTGAGGGATAAAAAATACGCAATTCTTCAGCTAATCATCCAGGGAAAGATTAAAGGCAAGCGAGGAGTAGGTCGCAAACAAATGTCGTGGCTACTGAACATAAAGAACTAGACAGGTGTAAATAACACTGGCAATATTTTACATTCCGCAATAGACAGACGTCTGGCCTTAAGATAATTCGCCAACGCACTATAGCTACACCGCATTATTAGAAGAAAAGAAGAATATTTTTTTAACATACCTAAATGTACAGTACATACAGGTAAGTTTCCAGTAGCTACTCAAGAAAAGATAAGGTGTTGAAACTGTTTCCTTGTGGCATCTTTAAGTTAGGTATTGTGTTTTTACGGGATTAAGTCGCAATTTATTGTAAAGATAATTACATTTTTCTTTACAAAAATTTGACTTTATTTACACTCTGAAAATCATTCTCGCAAAAGATTATAAGGATTTTGTTAAAAAGAATGCATAACTGCCAAACTTCTTGACTAAACTATGACATTTCAATCAATTGTGGCTTAATCACATATTAAAATATTTAATCAAAAAAATACAGTTTAAAATGAAATTCTGGATGCAGAAATAAACACCATAGTTGCCAAAGTTATAAAAAATCTGCACTGAAACTAAACGAGGAAAAAGAGTCAAGAGAGATCTATCCGTAGATAACTTTAATGTGTTCAAAGGAGTACGTCAAGACTCATAATATCACTAATAATTTTTTATGTATGTGGGAAATGATATTTCAACTTGATCTAGAAAGTAGGAGAATTACAATTAACTGAATTCCAATAACCAACATTCGATATGTAGACGACTGGCACAGGAAATCTAGCACCAACACTATGGAGAAATGACAATACCATAACCTAGCATATGCTGTAAACGTTTCAGCAAATAGTGAAAATCCCGTAAGAAACAATGGCTTTGCTTCTCGTTTCCACAAAACATATCTTAACAAAAAAAGATCTAACCCTAAAATATACCAAACCACCCTTTTAACCGCTCCACCTTGGATGGTCAGAAAACACTTTCTAGATTTAAGTTTAACAAAGACTAGTATTTAGCTTAATGCTTCCTCTATGGTTAAAAAATTTTCAGGAAGATAGATGAGTACCAGAAATACGAACATATTTATACTGACGCCTCCAAATCAGAAGAAGGAGTGAGATGTGCCTCCATACACAACGACTACACTGCTTCATACAAAATCTCAAATTTTAGCACAGTATATGCAGGAGAACTATTCGCAATCTACAAAGTATTAAAAAATGCACTGAACGCCAACTTAGACAGGTGCCTAATAATAACAGATTCCTTAAATTCCGTGAGAAGCTTAGGCACCATTTACCCAACTCATCCATTGCTGCGATTAATAAAGAACCATTTGTACCAACTTCAGCAAAAAAATTCGATTGTAAAATTTATGTGGATTCCGTCACATATAGGTATACAAGGTAATGAAAGAGTAGATGCTGCCACCAAATCTTCAGTTAATAAAGAAGACTTGAGAGAACCTACCTATAAGAAAGATTTTCATCACTGGATTAACTCGGGATTGAAAGAACCGTGGCTTCAAGAATGATATCAATCTGAAAAACAACTACAAAATATAAAAACAACAGTTGCAAGATGGAAGAATATGGGTAACAACAGGAAAGACAAAATAATGATAAACAGACTGAGATTAGGACATACGCTTAACACATAAATACCATATTACTGGAAGTGTTCATTCAATGTGCGGTAGGTGTTTCAACAGTTTAAGTGTTAAACATCGTTTAATCGAATGCCCTGCATATTTAAATGAGAGGGAAAAGCGTAATATACCGACAACGCTACGCGAGTGTCTAAAAGAAAACTGTGTTTATTCGTTTGTTTTAAGTATTTAAAAATCAATAGGAATATACAACCAAATTTAAACATCAGTGCGTGTACAAATAAATGTGTAATCTTCTATTAACCAATGTAATTTAACTAAGATTTATGTAGCTAAAACTATATGTATCTATGTCGATGTCTAAAAAAATGTGAAAAATTGTAATACCAAGCGGCGCTAATGACAACTTAGGTTGATTCGCGTAATTGTAAATAAAGAAACTATGTAGAACGTCCTATTTAAACAATGGTAGAACTGAAGCCGTGGGTTAATGTTTTGGACTTTTACAAAGACCAAATAATATAATAATAAAAATTATTTCACTAAGAAGTTTTGTTTTATTTTCAGGCTTTGTTTTGAAACCGTTCGCCACGTGCTTGCATTTAAATATATATTCATTCAAGAATGTACAGGGAAGACACTTTTCCAACTCAGAAATTCATCAGAGCGAATGTAATATAAAACAAAAGAGACATGACACGGTTAGAAATGTAATACAAGCCCCTTCCCATAACTGATGGCCCAAAGTTAGATTTATCAGAAAATTAAATTTTATAGAACAAAAATAAAGGCCCCGTAAATTTTAGAAGATTTAATGCATCGAACAACATTTTTAAACTTCCTAATTATAAAAAATGTTTTATAACGTAATGAAAACTATTGATTAAACAGAATAATAATAAATTAAAAAAATGCATAGAATACTTAATATTAAAAAAATGTGAAAGTTTACCACTGAGTTACATCCCCTTTATTCATAATGATATCCACAATTCTTCGAGGCATAGTTTTAACCAAGTTCTGACAAAATTTTAATGCAAACGAATCCAATATTTCTTACAACTTCTACCTTATTTCGTTGACGAACCTGGCAGGATGTTTTTTCAAAACTTTTTTCATTTTGCGCCACAAAGTCTATCAGGAATAAGTCGGGACTGTTGAAAACCCATTCTAGAAGTGGTATTTTATAGTCTTTAATCCATTTTAAACTTTGTTTTAAGGTATGACAACCTGCCCGTCAGCTATAAATCTTCTGCTGGCATTAAACGTTGTTCCATTGTCGGTAAAAGAGATTCTTCTAAAATATTCTATTTGTCAGTGTTTAGAATTCCATCGATAAAATGTAACTTTCCCACACCTTTAGATGACATGCTGCCCCGGATCATGACAAATGCAGGAAATTTGACTTTTCTCTTCAGACAGTCGAGATGGAAAACTTTACTTTTCCTGCAAATTACGTGAATCCTACTATCACCCATCACCAATCACTTCTAATCTGGACTCATCACTCCATTGTGTTGAATCCCATTGCGACTGATTCCAATCTTTTTGTTCTTTTGACCATCTTAGTCTATTTTTCTTTTGTTGTAATAATAAAAGTGGCTTTTCCTTAGCCTATTCCTTATTTATATTCCTTATTTCTTTTAGCCAAAACTTACTTTGTAAGAGCCAAATCCTAATTTGTGGGCCTCTTGGTGACATCTAGAAACGTGTCTTCCAATAACTTCATAAAACTTTTATATACATATAATTTTCGACGATTCTCGTCGACTTTTTACGATAATGCGTCTTAATGCCCTTCGATCTGC